CCTTTGTTGGTCCTCAGATTCATGAACTTCTTCGAGATGATGCATTTGACCATGCACTGCGTGGCAAGGAAAAGACGGCATGGAAAGCCTTCCAGTTAGTGGCAATAAATTTGCTCGGAAACAAGGCAGACAACTACAGGTTGTTGGTGGAAAACCTCCTCAAGGCATACAAAAGCCTTGGTTGCAACATGTCACTAAAGATACATTTTTTTGCACTCTCATCTAGATTTTTTCCCACCGAACTGCGGAGCAGTGAGCGACTAGCATGACGAGCGATTTCACCAGGACATTGCAACAATGGAGAAACACTATCAGGGCAAATGGAGCCCATCAATGCTTGCAGACTATTGCTGGACAGTGACAAGAGATGCTCCATTTAATGAATACAAGAGACAAGCCAAGAAGCGCCGAGTAGACACTGAATAGGACTAAACTATGTACAGAATAGTTTTTTGCCTTTTGGTTCATAATACATTTTATTTATATAAAGTGTTACATAAACAGGACAGGTGAAATATTATCATGTAAAGCAACCATAAACACATGAAAAGACCTAGGTTTACAATTTGATTAAAACTCTACTATCTACACAATATACATAGACATAAAATGTAAAAACTTAAATATCTTAAACAGTAGCCAATCAGTTGTTTTAATTGTCATATTTGAATTCAGCACATCAAAATACATAATAAATAGCACATTTTATCTCTGAAGCAGACGACTTCTCAAAAATTGTAGACCAGTGTAACTTAATCACCAGAGGCTCCCCTGCTCAGATTTCTGGAAGAGATCAGCTTCTATGAACATGTGAGAGCTATTGCATGCTGAGACTTTTTGAGAACATAGGCCCAGATTGTCAAAGGTATTTCATTCCCATTGAAATCAATAGGTGTCAGGAGCCTGTGAGTACCTTTTGAGGATCTGGGCCATAGGCAGTTATTGAGGGCTGCTCTAAAATACAGAAATTGGACTTGTTTTATTTAAAATCGCTGTGTGGACAAGCTCTTACAAGGCAGGTTTAAAACCTGCCTTGTATCAACCTCACTTCATTCTAAGAGAATGAGTTGCCTTTTAAAAAGCAATCAAACTGCCTCTGGCTCAATAAGCTGTGTTAGAGGGGCCTTGTCTTCACTAGAAAGGAATGTGTGCTACCAACTCGAGTTAGCTAAGGTGTGGTGCACCCCAAGGGAACACTAGGCAGTCTAGTTTCAGTACAAGAGAGTAGATGCAGGTAAACCCTAGGCTAGGATCAGATCCTTAAAAGGTTCTTATAGGCCTGACTCATTGAAATCACTGGGAGGTGGGGCTTAGACTCCTCCATGGTCTGACTCGACCTGCGCATTGCAAGCTGACAGCTCCTCACCAGGCTCCTATGTAATGGTAGCTCAGTCAATGCCCCTCACGCTGTCCAAAGCCTGGTCTACACCTAGTGCTTAGGTCTACCTAGCTTAAGTGCTCAGGACTGTGCAGTTATTTGGGAAGGCCTCAGGACAGGGCTTGCTGGGTGTTTTCCACTGGCAGGTAAGCCGAGGTCCCTGTCCTGGGCTGAAATATCTTGAATCCGTCCATTTCCTGGTCTCTTTATTTTCTCCTTGGCTGGGCTGCTGCCACTTCCTGACTTGGCACAGGAAGATTTCCCTCAGCAATCAGTAAGAAGAAAGTGTCTCACTAATCCCTAGCTCTTCTGCTTATCTTTGTATATCGCTACCCATTGTTAGTTAATAGTTCTAACTTAGTTGTTAATTGTAGTCTTTAGTGGTTTGGGGGAGGGGATTCCCCTCCAACACACACCCCGTGGGGCTCCAGGTCATGCTGTCCCAGGGCTTTAAACACTGTAATTCCTGTGCCAAGCCTATGCCTATGGGTGACACCCCTACACACACACACGACTCCTGCCTCCGGTGTCTGAGAGAAGCCCATCAGTCGGACAAATGCAAGATCTGCAAAGCCTTCAAGCCTTGCACCCGGAAAGAGAGGGACATTTGCCTAAAGCAACTCCTTATGGAGTCAGCCCTCTGTCCGCAGCAGGACCCAGCCCCAAGCGCCTCGGTGCAGAGTATTCCTCTGGCAGTGCCATCTGTGGTACCAAGAAAGGACGCGGCACACCTACCCAGGGCTGGTGATCTCCCGGGCCCCAGAAGTGTTCTCTCTGGCACCGCTCTTA